CTATTTTCGTATGAAAGTTTTCCAAATATGGAATCAGCTTCCTTATCCTTCTCTATATTTTCCAGCGTATTGTGTTTATCTAAGAAGGATAAAAATAAAAATAAATATAATTCTAATATATGGAATCAGCTTCGTTATTCTTCTCTGTATATTTTCCAGAGTATTTTTTTATCTAAGAAACTGAGAAAATTTAAACACTGGTTACAATTTACTTCGGCCTTCAGTGCTGATAACTTGATAAAACAAATTCCAAGCGGCTTTAAACTTAATGTTCTGGTGTATTTCACAATACTGTTCTCTCCGGGATAATAAAAGAATGCTTCTTCAGTTTGTCTTCAGTGTTTCTTTGTGGAGGGTTTCAATAAGTTTTGGTTGTGAATGTCCTTATTAGCCATTTTAACTTAAGAAATTGCGGTATTAGTGTCGGTACGATAACTTGTGAATACCAGATCTTACTCGCCTCAAATCTTCAGTGCAAATATTTAATTACATTAAAAACCTATGTCGCACACGGCACTTATCTCTCTACTCGAGCATTGACGTACAGGCGGCTGGGGTTATGTAATACAGGGATACATTTCTCAGATCACAAAGCGACTGGCATAACTATATATAGCATTGATATTGTACAGTAAATGCTGTAGTAGTAAAAATAGTAGTAAAAGAAACAGCAGTAGTATAAGTATTAGCAGCATAAGTATTAGCAGTATAAGTATTAATAGTGTTAGGAGGAGATGGAAGATGAAGATGAAGATAAAGATAAGGGCCCTGAAGAACAGTGCCTGATGAAAGAGTTTGACCAAGAGGAACTTACCTCAATGAGTCTCTCCACGGCCTTCACAATCTGGTTGGCGTCCTTGGTATTGAGACACTGCAGGAGGAACGTTGAGCCGGAGATGTATCCACAACCCAGATGCTCCGAGAGTCTCTTGGAGGCCTCACGAGGACGTCTGCTCAATGCCCAGGGAGCCAAGTTGGAACCGGAGAGGAGGATCATCTGCTTGAATGGTCCTGGGGAAAAATATACAAGTTTTGTGTAATCTCTGAAAATAGCAATGTAATCAATACTGGACATAAAGGAGGTACACACACACACATTTTGTGCATATGATTTTTCTCTAGAAAAAGGTAGATACACTTCAAAACGTAAAAATACAGTTTGGAAGATACGGTAGCACTCATTCATGGTTAGTAAACGAGAACAATACCAGACGACAAGTATTCCAGGAAGCTACGAAAGATCCATAAAAAATGATCATCCGCTGAAACCTTCCTTTAGAAAAAACAGAAGTCCTCCATACTCTGGAACAATAGCGCTGGATGATGAAGCTAGGGCGAGCAGGCACTCAGGCTGGGTTCACCCACAAGACATCTCCTTCAATGTTACGTCAAGAAAATCCTGCGCTGCTGTTCTAGATAGAATTAAGTTGTGTGTTACGCGGTTCTTCTCTGGTCTGTGGAGAAAAGCTCTCGCTTCATAAACGGAGAGTCAGGGTTCGATTCCCGGTGGGTGGAAACATTTCGATGCGTTTCCTTACACCTGTTGTCCTGTTCACCTAGCAGCAAATAGGTACCTGGGTATTAGTCGACTGGTGTGGCTCGCATCCTGGGGGACAAGATTGAGGACACCAATGGAAATAAGTTAGTCCTCGATGACGCACTGACTTTCTTGGGTTATCCTGGGTGGCTAACCCTCCGGGGTTAAAAAAACCGAAGAAAATCTTATCTTATCTTATCTAACAGGTAGGAGTGCCACCAGACGCTGTGGTCGTGTCAGTATTGAAGAAAATACTAATATGAAAACCAATGACTTTCTGACTTCAATCAAACATGATGACCCAAGACACATGAAAAAAAATGTACGAAAGAAAGTTTATTAAACTGTAATTGAAAGAGGAATACAAAAAAATGACTTACCCAATATGAAACTATTTCATTATTGTTTGTTAAAAAAAAGAGCTAATCTGAAATGATTTGAAATATGTAAGTTCATCAGATCCTGCTCCCCCTCCCCCCTATCACCCCCCCCCCTATCGCCCCTCCCCCCCCCAAAAAAAAAAACTCTTGACAAGATAAAAAAGAGAAATCCGCCTCTTGAGTTCAATCACTCAACTGTAATATTCGAATAAAACTGACTTAAAAATATCTTTATATCCTAATTATATAATCTTGAGAAAAAATAATGTACCATATATAGTGGGGAGCGGAAACCGGAAATGCTGCTGCCGTCCCGTCTAGACGATCCTCAGTGATCAGTGAGACACATGTGCAACACTGCCATCTTTATTCAGAAACATTTTGCCTACACAGCAGGCTTCTTCAGTCGAATACAGTGGTGGGCAGCAGAAACAGTGGAGGTATAAAGACAATGTAATCAGTCCCTCACCCTCGAAGATTTACTTCTGAGGGGGTCAGTCCCCTGAGGGTGATAGACTGATTGCATGTCTTTACACCACTGCTTCTGCTGCCTCTTCTACGTTCGACTGAAGACGCCTACCGTGCAGGCGAAGAGTTTCGGAATAAAGATACCTAACTGTTATACATGTAACTTACTTATCAACTTGTCAGTATTATATACCGTTGTTAAAGATGGTGAGAGTGTTGGGGGGATTGTGATCTGCGGTATAACTCGCAGGTATAACACACTCTTTACCATCCCGTAATATAAACTGCCTAATATAAATGTTAAGATTATGTTGAAGGTTCAGTGTTATACTAGTGATAACTGTGCTGTGTCGTACTGGTTAATAACTGCTCTGTGTCGTACTGGTTAATAACTGCTCTGTATCGTACTGGTGATAACTACTGTGTCGTACTGGTGATAACTGTGCTGTGTCGTGCTAGCTATAAATGTTTGGTGTCGTAAAGGATGATAATTGTTTCGTGTCATACTGACAATAACTTCTGTGTCATACTGATGATAGTTGTTCTATGTCATACTGGCAATAACTGCTCGTTGTCATACTGGCAATAACTGCTCTTTGTCGTACTGGCAATAACTGCTCGTTGTCATACTGGCAATAACTGCTCGTTGTCGTACTGGTGATAACTGCTGTCTGCAGTACTCGTACTGGGTGATAACTGTTTTTTTTATCATACATGGGTGATAACCTGTCTCCGTACTTGGTGACAACTGCTCTCCGTCAGACCGGGTAACGGACCGGGTAATGTTATTTCAAACCGAAATAACATTCCTTGAGCGTCTCTGTGGCTTTCATCCTGAGTGTCTGGAACCACAGCATTATGAGCACACGTTTATATATATCGAGTTATAATACTGGCAAGTAGGCAAGACAAGGTGGGATGGGGGCATCTTCATAGGATGATTATTGTAATAATAATAATAATAATAATAATAATAATAATAATAATAATAATAATAATAATAATAATAATAATAATAATAATAATAATCTTCAATTCTACAAGTACATGTACAAGGTATACAGTCCTAGCTGACATCAATGACATACTACTATACAGAAAGCCCCTTGTTATGCAGAGCATTTCAGGCAAATTAGGTCAGTTTTGTCCCAGGATGCGAACCACACCCGTCGATTAACACCCAGGTACCCATTTTACTAATAGGTAAATATGGACAGCAGGTATCTTAAGGAAACATGTCCTAATGTTTCCATTCGTACCGGGGATCGAACCCCCGACCTCAGTGCGTGAGCCGAGTGTGTGCTGAGTCACGTGAAGATCTCCCCAGTCTTTCCAAAATGGTCAAGAGAATATGTTCCTCTGGAACATATCCTCTTGACATATCCTCTTGATAGAAAAGAATGGTTATAATAATAATAACCGGTAAGCCAGCGGAAGGTCTCGGTCAATTGACCAAAAGCTCCAGTGGCGGGTCATCATATGACTAAGACCCGCGTCAGGAAACACTTGTCTTATTTCCCGACAAACATTACTTAACCCAAGTGTAGTAGATGGCGACCTGAAGCGTTGTGTTAGCGCTGGAAGCATCACCGGTAAGTCGATGGTTGAAGACGATGGAGCGTTTCTGGGACTAATGAGTCTGATTGGCTTCTGGATTTCCTTGATCTGATTAGTTTCTGAGCGAGATCTTTCATCCAACTTGCTCAGTGATTCCCAGCCTTGTTTGCATCATGCCCTACATTGACACTCAAAAAAAATTGATGTCTTTTCCTTACATAAACAAATTTGGGTGTTGAATCAGACGCTTCTTCTTCTAAAACTCTATTTGTACCCTTAGTCTCTTACATTTCATCAGAGAGAAACTGTAAAATACCCTCTCTGAAGTCATTCTTTCATGACTGAAGCGAATACGTAGAGACTCCTCACAAAATGGCTGCCCAAAAGAGGTGCCAATTAGTAGTTTTACACTCAGTTTAGTAAAATATAAAATATAATTTTGGAAGTAATATATGTAATTGTTATCATGTACAAATGTTGCGAATAACTATACTTATATGTAACTGAAATTTTACAATATATCTCTTTATTAAAATATTTATAATGTATAAATACTATTTTATTGTAACATTTTGAACTGCCGCAAAACATTCAAATTGCCCCCCACCCCGTGGGCCGTACTGCCCATGTTGGGAATCACTGGACTGGCTGTTGGACTGGTTCTTTTATCTGGACGGTGCAGCCATCTGGCTGAGTAGCCAGACTGAACATAATGACAGAAAATCTCGGAAGAGAATTAGAGAAAATCATTCAAGGTTTTCAAATTAAGCTAACAGAAAAAAATGGAAGCGGAAGGTAAAAGTAAGTGCAAGAGTTGACTGACCTTGACTTCGAGGATGGACGAGGTGGTAGGCGGCGGAGGCGGCGCCGGCGGAGTGACCCAGGAGTGTGACGCGGCTCAGGTCGCCTCCGAACTTGTCGATATTCTCGGCGACCCATTGCAGCGCCAGCGACTGGTCCCGGAGACCCAGGTTGCCCGGTAGCACCCGGTCCTGCCATGTCAGGAACCCTGTAGCAGCAGGAGCAAGTGAAACAGGATGGTCAGTGTTGCAGGAGTAATGGCAGAAGGCTTTCGTTTATTGTCAGTCAAATGTGAACTTGGACAGCCAGTTGGCTAGCCATTCATTCAATTAGGCAGCCTTTCAGCCAGCTAGTCAACCAGCCGGGCAGTTAGTCAGGCCCATATATAATTTACCTGGTTTTATAAAGAAAACACCCATTGAGTTTCTCCTCAAAAAAGTAATCTGAAATTTGCAAACCACATGTGAAAAACAAGCAAACCATTATAATTCATGGAATTTTATTTTTAAATGAAAAACCTGAACAATTACAGAGGAAACATCGAAGTAGTTTAAACATCGAAGCAACTTAAAACATCGACATTGTATGAAGCTCAACAGAGGATAACTCATCACAAAGATAACACGGGCTAGAGGTCCGAGACGTAAAGACAGCGCAACGATAAAGCCTGATGACCTACCGAAGGCGTTCGTTCGGTAGTTGAGGGAGACGACAATGAGATCAAAGGCGGCAAGGTCCTGTCCGGGGAACCTCGAAGCGGCGGAGGTCACGAAGAGTTCCCCTTCAACCACTACCACCACTGGGTACTGTCGGAACCCCCGTGGGAGCTGCATGGGTCGTCGCACGGGGTCAAAAAGTTTATATAACCAGATCAGAACCGCCACCGGGTACTGGCGACACTCGTATATTAAATCAGAGGGTCACAGAATACTACAAGTCTTATATTAAACTAAAATGGCAGGTGAAAGTTCAAGTTCTGATAAAAAGAGAAGGAAAGTTCTAAAACCAGGTTTTTGCCGAAGAATCAGCTGTTATATATGCCAAGTTCTACGTATTGTCAAAGTTATCAGGGAATGTTGAATCGTAATAATAATAGTAGTAGTAGTAGTAGTAGTCGTAACAGTGGTAATACAGAAATAGTAGTAGTAGTAGTAACAGCGGTAACGCAGTAGTAGTAGTAGTAGTAACAGAAGTAATAAAGTAGTAGTAGTAGTAACAGCGGTAATGCAGTAGTAGTAGTAGTAGTAACAGAAGTAATAAAGTAGTAGTTGTAGTAGCAGTTGTTGTTGTTATAGCAGTAGTGGTAAAAGTAGTAATACAATAGAATTTGTAGTGATAATGGTTTAAGTCATTGTAGTAATAGCGACAGTTAGAGTAATGGCGTAAGTATTAGCAGTAATAATAGTATTAGCAATGATAGGCAATAGTAGTGGTAGAGGTAGTAGCTGTAGTAGTAATAGCAATTGTAGTAGTAATAGCAGTAGTAATAGAAGTAGCAGCAAGATCAGAAGAAGCAGTACTAGTAGTGCTAGTAATAGTATTAGTAATAATAGCAACAATAGTACAGCACAAGAAGTAGCAGTAATAACAATTTTACCAGTATAATATAATAATAATAAATAATAATAATAATAATAATAATCATTGGAGCTGGCTAGCAAAACAGAGTTCTGTGAATACGAGCTTTTGATTGCTACACCAGCATTTGACTAATTAAGAAAGGATTTGCAGTTTCGTTTTAATGATGAAACAGAGAGAGAGAGGAGGAAGAGATGAAGAGGGAGAGAGGTGAAAGAGCGATGAGAGATAGATAGATAGAGAGACAGATAGATAGATAGATAGAGAGAGAGAGAGAGAGAGAGAAAGAGAGAGAGGAGAGAGACCATACCTCAGGGATCCAAACATTGAGTGTAAGACAGTCCTCGGAGATCTGAACGCCCATCAGGAAAGGCTGGGGACAGGCGGCGCCCATCTCGTGGGCGTAGAGAGTCGAGTTCCAACCATTGTGACGCTGAGGAGGCTGTTAGGAACGAGCAGGTCGTTAGCCACTATAACCAGGCAATAAGTTACTTGCAAAAACACAAGTAATGTTATAGTTACAGAATCGTACATTCAAGGTAAAAAAATGTTGCATTTGCATAAGAAATAATAATTATTTTCGTGGACCGGTCCGCGGGGTCGTTGACCCTCAAAACACCGTCCAGGTATACTCCAGGCAGCTATAACATGGAAGACACTATAGTGGATCATAGAATTCCTAATGGGAGAGACGAAGTCCGTGAAAAGGCATCTGAGTGGGTACGTGTGACAAGTGGGGTTCCACAAGTATCTGTACCGTAACCAGTGCTGGTTCTTGTGTGTATGTGAACATAGTGACAGTAATAAAGCATGTGAAGAAGCTTGAGAAAAAGTAGAAGGTCGAAACCAGACTTGTCCCTTGGCATAACAAGATTAAATTTTGAGGAGAGAGTAAAACCCTGAACCTGACGACATTATAGGAGGACCAGGGAAAGATAACCCCGTACAAAATACTACGATTATTTGATAAAGCGGACAGGTATAAGACTGCTCGAAAAGTGAGAAACATGTACACAAGGGCAAAGCTGGAAGTGAAATACATAGATGAGTGGGATGACAGTAACTGTTTTTTCAGCCTCAGGCCAGTCAGGTGGTAGATTGACCTGGTCGAAGAAGTGGTGGAAGCAGGTTCAGTACATACATTTGAGAATAGGTCTGATAAGGCTTAAGAGACTAAGAAAGAGTGACCTCAGGGACCAGGAGTGACCTCAGTGACCAGGAGTGACCTCAGTGAAGACAAGTGAAAGGTCAAAGACTCGATCCCCCGCTACCACCAATAGGTTAATACACAAAGAATTATTAAGGTTTGCTGAATATAACGTCGAGAATTTTTACGTCTTTCTACAAAATAAGCCATTTGGAAAATTGGCGAACGGCGGGAGATGATTACAGGCACTTGGCAAAGACATAATTGGGCTCTCTGGCTTCCTAGTGAATTTGATTTTTTTCTTTCTTGGCCAGGAAGTGAGCGTTCAGGTCTGCATCGGGAGAGTAATTAGGTATTGATCGATCGCTCATTTTTGCGGAGTTACCATCATTAACATCGTCAGGCAGGAGGCTTTTGCAGTTTTTTTTTTGTCTCGACATGTGGCATAAAGCATCTTACAATCAGCGTATTATGCAGAGGTGGCGGATATAATAATAGCCTTAAGGAATCTGCTGTTTTTCAAGGTCTTGTGAAACACCTTAGACCAAGAGGCGCGTACTCAGCGTCAGAGAAATGCCACAAAGCTGGTCTGAAAACTGTAGGTGTTAGGTTGTAAAGACAAGCTGAGAAAAAACTCTTCATCTGATGTGCGAAGACAGAGGAGACATGTTCACAACGTACAAAATGTTCAGAGGCATTAGCAGAGTAGGCAAATACGGAGTTTTTATCATAGGAAGGACAGCTGGTACATGAGTGAAGGGAAGTGAGCTATAAGAAGGTGGAACCTGACCTACACAAATAAAACTTCGTGAGTACAACTCGGTGAGTACAAAAAGCTCTATATACTCATATACGCAAACACACACAGGCACACACACACACTCAGTGAGCAGAGGCTGCAAACCCCACTCAAAGATGAAGACCTAGGGGGTTAACATAGTGCCGAGCATATCCCCGGAGGAACACATCAACAGAATAAACCTCTGCAACTAATGCTCGTTTGGCAAACTGAAAAGTAGCATTTCAGGAATCTCCATGGTCATTCACGGCCATATATACTACATATATTAGGTCCACCTTTGAGTATGCAGCATAGGCATGTATTCTTCACCTGGGGAAAGTGCAGCCGTAAATCAACGTGACCTGTGACAGACTAAGATAAATGAGTAATGATGAGAAGGGAAGGGTTCTGAACCTGGCCACACTAGAAGACAGGAAAATCAGGGATGAGAGGATAACAACATACAAAATACTCGAAGGAGTTGATAGAATGGACAGCGATAGACCATTGAAGAAGTGGGAAATAGGTACACCAGGGCAGAGTTGGAAATTAAAGACAGTTGATGTCAAGAAGTATTTCTTCAGCCTCAGGGTGTTCAGAAAGTGAAGTGATGTGGACGAAATAGTGCAGGCAGGTAAATGTGGCAAATGACAACTTAAGAGGCAGGGCCAGGAGCCGAGATTCGACCTCTGCGACCACAAATGGGTGAGTACGTACGTATGCACACACACACACACACACACACACACACACACACACACACACACACACACACACACACACACACAACATACACACACAACACCAACAAACGAACACAAACACACAGCCAGGAACTATAAATCGACCCATGCAACCACATATAGGCGAGCACAAACAGACACACAAACACCCACAAACACAAACACACACACTCCTCACCACTTCAATTTGGCTTGAAAAAACCCACATCAAAGTGAGACTGGATGTTATGAAAGACATTTGCCTTTGAAGCGGCTCTTCATCTTCCACCAAGCAAACTTAAAAAAAAATGTCTTTTTTTTTTTTTGATACTCACAAAAATATATTCATTTCTTGCTTCCCTACATTATGAAATAAACCAAACAAATTTTGAAGGAAGAATTTTTTGGTGGCCTCAGTTTCTTTTTAAAACTTTAGGTTTATTAAAGTAGTAGGTACACGTGTACACTTTTCCCAGGTTTTCCGTATTCATAATTTTATGAATAATATACACTTGTGTTTACATTGTTAAAGCTAGCGTTCTTTATTACTCTCTCTCACACTCGCACTCTCTCACTCTTTGTGTGTGTGTGTGTGTGTGTGTGTGTGTGTGTGTGTGTGTGTCGTGTGTGTGTGTGTGTGTGTGTTGTTGTGTGCAGCCTTTCCTACCCATTATCCCACCTACATGTACCCATTCTTTATCAGATCTACCCATTCTTTCTCTCAGCTTACTCCTTTATTTTCTACCCATTCCCTCCCCTCCCCCCTCTACGTTTTTCCATTCTTCTACTCTACATCTACCTATTCTCCTTTATCACGTCCACCCATTTTCCCTTTTTTTCCATGTCAACCCATTTTCCCTTTTTTCCATATCCACCCATTCTCCCACAACATCCTCTCTTCCCCACATTTACGCACTCCCTCACACACTCAAGGCCTCTCACCTTGAACCTGAGGTTCCCCACGGGAGGCAAGGCGTACGGAATACCGAGGTAAGCGTAGATCTCTCTGTTGCTGGCCTCTCGCACCACCTGTGGATGTACAACGTCAAGTACTTAACACATTAAACTAACTTTTTCCTTCACACGGAACTGCAGCTGCAGCGACAGTAATAGCACAGCGAGGATTACTCTCTTTTTTATTTTTATCCATGTAAATATGCTTAACAATTTGCAAACAGGCGAAATTTTTTACAAACGTTATTTCTCAGTCCGTAGCAGGATTCGAGCCTGTAAACTCGGCATCAGAGTACACAGTACTGTGTGGATAAAGTACTGTGTACTCTGATGCCGAGTTTGCAGGTTCGAATCCTGCTGTGGACTGAGAGATAAGCCATGTAAATATGTTAAGTGCTGACGAGTCCGTCGTGTTATTAGTCTATGTAAAAAATACTCAAATATTTTCTTTTCATTCTGATGGGATTGCTGGATTATTTTCTCTCTCAAGTGAACACTAAGATCTTAGGTTAATCTTAACCTAAGATCTTAGTGTATTATACATTATCTATACTTCTACACTAGTGTATTATACATTATCTTTACTTCTTGTGTGTTCAGAATATCACCGTCTTAAAGCTGCTGGTCTTGTCTGCTGGTTCTTGGTATATATGCAAATTACCGTTTATTAAACGACAAAAAAAAATCCTTTTCTTACAGGATTGTAGAGAATTTGCATTAGAACATAAGTGAAAAAAAAAGAAAACCGACGATTGTTGAAAATTTGCGGTGTTTTTATTTATGGCGCTTATAAAAACTTCACGAATTTGGCGAGCCATCAAAATATTCACATTTTAGTATATATGTAACGTGGAGTCGTTCACGAACTCTGGTACAATTTTCTTCCACTTTAGATTTTCCAGACTGGTGGAGTATAACTTATGGATGGTTAAGGAAGTCTTGGGCTGGGAAGTGGCTCTTGTTATTTAACCCTTATAAAGACCGCGGTTCGAGCACCTCGTCCATTCTTCTGTCTATTCATCACCACTTGTTCATTACAGCTTAATTTGAGTTAATACTCGGCTTTATTTTCCTCTGCAACAACTTGAGAATGGCTTTTCTGATCGGATTCAGACTTTCAATATCGGCTTATCATGTTTAGAAGGAAAATTCGATGTTATTTTAATGCGCAGGAACTAATTTTATTTTTAAAGTGATGAGATATTTATTTTTCCATGAAATAAATGAGTACAGATTAAATTTTTATGTGACGCTGAGATACTGGGGGGGGGGGAGATGTCACTCACAGTTGTATTGTGGGGACAGAGAGAGAGAGAGAGAGAGAGAGAGAGAGAGCAGAGTAGAGAACAGAGCAAGACGTCTCATCTCTCGCCTGGACCCATCCTGGATAGATCTGTCATTTCAGCAGAGCCTTCAACACAGGAGGGATGTGGGTGGCCTTACTGTTATGGACAAGGCCAATATTGTCAAAGTACCACACTTGGATCCACTTCGAGGACAGCGAGAAACAAGCTTTTATGCCACAAGACGGGCAGAGAGCAGCAACTTCACTCTGGCTGTACCCTTCTCCAGAACATCACTCCATCTGAGATCATATATACCCAGGATGAATCGAGCATGGAACACATTCGTACAGCATAATGTCAACGAGATAAAGTCAGTTGATCAAATGAAAATGCTGGCCCACAGATGGCTCCAACTTCATCCTGTTCCCTACTTGTATGTCTCATAACAATAAAAATGCTTTCAAATGAGCTGATGTGGGTAACAGCTCTTAGCTTGTCAATAAAGTTAGAAATCCTTAACCTGTAAATAGCTTGTCAATAAAACTAGGGATCCTTGTCAAACCCTGTGTATGGGTGTATGGTGTGGTGTAGGAGGCTGAGTGGGTGTGTAGCCAGTTGCAGGAGCAGCTAGGGAATATAACGAACCTCAAGATTATCCAAGGTATGGAAAACGTATATAGATAAACAGTAGGTTGACGCACATTGCAACAACTTAACGACTCTGACTGTCTGTCTGTCTGTCTGTCTGTCTGTCTGTCTGTCTCTCTCTCTCTCTCTCTCTCTCTCTCTCTCTCTCTCTCTCTCTCTCTCTCTCTCTCTCTCTCTCTCTCTCTCTCTCTCTCTCTCTCTCTCTCTCTCTCTCTCTCATTTTCCGCTGAATGTTGGGTCATATTCAGCATTTCCTGTGACCTTGGGTGTCCATGGTGAGAAGCGTACAACACAACACAGCACAACACAACACAACACACACAGCACAACACAACACAACACAGAACACTCAGCACAACACAACACAGCACAACACAACACAACACAGAACAACTCAGCACAACACAACACAGCACAACACAACACAACACAACACAGAACAACTCAGCACAACACAACACAGCACAACACAACACAACACAGAACAACTCAGCACAACACAACACAGCACAACACAACACAACACAGAACAACTCAGCACAACACAACACAGCACAACACAACACAACACAACACAGAACAACTCAGCACAACACAACACAGCACAACACAACACAACACAGAACAACTCAGCACAACACAACACAGCACAACACAACACAACACAGAACAACTCAGCACAACACAACACAGCACAACACAACACAACACAACACAGAACAACTCAGCACAACACAACACAGCACAACACAACACAACACAGAACAACTCAGCACAACACAACACAGCACAACACAACACAACACAGAACAACTCAGCACAACACAACACAGCACAACACAACACAACACAGCACAGCACAACACAACACAGCACAACACAACAAACACAACACAACACAACACAGCACAACACAACACAGCACAACACAGCACAACACAACACAACACAGCACAACACAGCACAACACAACACAGCACAACACAGCACAACACAACACAACACAGCACAACACAACACAGCACAACACAACACAGCACAACACAACACAACACAGCACAGCACAACACAGCACAGCACAACACAGCACAACACAGCACAACACAACACATCACAACACAACACAGCACACACAACACAGCACAACACAGCACAACACAACACAACACAGCACAGCACAACACAAACACAACAAAATACAACACAGTACAACACAACACAACACAGCACAACACAGCACAACACAACACAACCAGCACAGCACAGCACAACAAAGCACAGCACAGCACAACACAGCACAACACAACACAGCACAACACAACACAGCACAACACAACACAACACAGCAGAGCACAACACAGCACAGCACAACACAGCACAACACAGCACAACACAACACAACACATCACAACACAACACAGCACAACACAACACAGCACAACACAGCACAACACCGCACAACACAGCACAGCACAACAAAGCACAGCACAGCACAACACAGCAAAACACAACAGCACAACCACAGCACAACACAACACAACACAGCACAGCACAGCACAACAAAGCACAGCACAGCACAAACACAGCAAAACACAACAGCACAACACAGCACAACACAACACAGGGCAACTCAGCACAACACAGCACAACACAACACAACACAACACGCACAACACAACACAACACAGCACAACAACGGAACAGCACAACACAGCACAACACAACACAGCACAACACACACACAACACAGCACAACACAACACTGCACAGCACAACACAGCACAGCACAGCACAACACAGCACAACACAACAGCACAACACAGCACAACACAACAGCACAACACAACACAGCACAACACAACACAGCACAACTCAGCACAACACAGCACAACACCTCACAACACAGCACAACACAACACAACACAGCACAACACGAAACATCACAACACAGCACAACACAACACAGCACAACACAACACAACACAACACAACACAACACAACACAACACAGCACAACACAGCACAACTCAGCACAATACAACACAGCACAACACAACACAACACAACACAGCACAACACAACACAACACAGCACAGCACAACACAGAACAACATAACACAGCACAACACAACACAGCACAACACAACACAGAACAACTCAGCACAACACAACACAACACAACACAACACAACACAACACAACACAACACAGCACAACACAACACAGAACAACTCAGCACAACACAGAACAACACAACACAGCACAACACAACACAACACAACACAGCACAACACGGAACAGCACAACACGGAACAGCACAACACGGAACAGCACAACACGGAACAGCACAACACAACACAGAACAACTCAGCACAACACAAAAAGCTCAACACAACACAACACAAACACAGCACAAACACAGCACAACACAGCAAAACACAACACAACACAGCACAACACAACACAGCACAGCACAGAACAACACAGCACAACACAGCACAATACAGCACAGCACAACACAACACAGCACAACACAACACAACAGCACAACACAGCACAGTACAACACAGCACAACACAACACAAACACAACACAACACAACACAACACAACACAGACCAACTCAGCACAAACACAACACAACACAACACAGCACAACACGGAACAGCACAACACAGCACAACACAGCACAACACAACACAACACAACACAACACAACACAACACAGCACAACACAGCACAACACAACACAACACAGCACAGCACAGCACAACACAGCACAACACAGCACAATACAGCACAGCACAACACAACACAGCACAACACAACACAACACAGCACAACACAGCACAGTACAACACAGCACAACACAACACAACACAACACAACACAACACAACACAACACAGACCAACTCAGCACAACACAACACAGCACAACACAACAGCACAGCACAACACAGCACAACTCAGCACAATACAACACAGCACAACACAACACAACACAACACAGCACAACACAACACAACACAGCACAGCACAACACAGAACAACACAACACAGCACAACACAACACAGCACAACACAACACAGAACAACTCAGCACAACACAACACAACACAACACAACACAAACACAACACAA